CACACAGCTCTGTCTTTCAACACTGTGCTGCTAAGCTTAGGATCACAGAATAGTGGAGTGTAAAGGGCCCATGAAGGCCACTGAGGCCAGCCCCCTGCTGTTGCAGGGCACCAGTTCACACCACCCCACAGATGACTCCACCTTCTGCTGCCTGAAGTGGCTGCCTCGCTTTGGCTAATGGCAGTGCTAGTCCTGCTTCTGTACCAGGCTCAGTCCTGGTTTTATTCTGCCTCATGTCCTTAGTAAATCACCCCCTCTTAATTTGTTTATTGGTTCTTCTTTGTGGAGATCAGTAAAGGTTGTATAAGTTGTTCAGTTTGGTGCTGTTCAGATTTTAACTCCCTCCTCAAAGTTTCTAGACATTCTGTGCATTCTGTGCATGCTTGCCCCCATGTAACACCCCCCCCCCCCCCGATTTAGCAGACCCTTGCGTGCATCTACACAGGGCGCCTGCATGTATGTGTGTAGGCTCCAGTGCAAAGCCATAATCCAATTATGCAGGTCAAGAGTGAGGCCAGCAGGCACCATCCATTCCAATTTCTCTCTTCTTCCACCACCACCACACTTTTATTTATTAGTGATGTGCTTCAGATTTGGCCAACTGGAATTTAGACCTGGAGCTCATTCCAGAGTAGGCCTTTCCTTTCTAGTGCTCTCTGAGGTGAAGTGAATTTGTCTCAGAAGTGACCACAAGTGGAGCTGGGTCCTGCATGAAGCTCTGTTTGCAGTCCAGCTTCAGAAGGGCAGATAACGCATCCCCACAAAACAACAACTTTTGCTTCTGCTTCTCTAAATAGTGGTGACATGGGAGGGAGTTAGGCTGAGTGACTGACATGTGCATCTTTTAAGCAGGAGCTCTCTAATCGCTGTGTTTTATGGAAGGGCAGAGATGAGACCTTGAGATGGGTGTTATTCTTATGCTACCAGACTTCACCATGCAAAAAGTTTCAAACTGGTTTTCTACCATACTATCTTGCTAGTCTTGCAAATAGTCTGACACTTTGTAGCTTCCCTGTCTGGAGACACCTCTGCACGCTGTGTCAGTTTCATACAAATTGCCACCCCTTCCCCAAGAAAGATAGGGAAGAAAAGGGAAACAAATCCCTCCTCCCTAATTAGGGCTTACATCCCACAAAATTCACTACACTTCTCCTTCTGAAATTGTGCACTTGTCTTCCTTTGGGTCACCTCTGTGATGGATGCCATCTTCAGAAGAATGACTCCAAGGAGCATAGATGCATTAGTGTGTCCTTGTTTGGGTTCACACAAAATGTTCAGGCTGCTGTTGCACAACATTTATTTATTTTATTTATTTATTAAAACATTTTTATGCCGCCCCATTCGCCGAAGCCTCGGGGCGGCTTACAACAACAACAACAAAAATTCCTGCAGCTGTTCCTGAAGCTTGGCAGGATGGAATAAATAAATCCACCTCTATCTTTTAAAAGGCGCATAGTACATAGGCTTGTGTAGTGTTCTGAAAGTGTGTTTATTTGTTTATTAGATTTATTTCCCACTTTTTCTTACACCAAACTCAGAGCGGCTTTTCGAATAAGATCATTATTGCATAACTTTAATGAAGGGCCCCAAAACAATGTCTGCTTTTTAATCAAGGCATGATGACTGTTGCAGAATAAATGCAGCACAGCCAACAGGATGTTACGAATTATACATGTGCCCTTATTGCTTTTAATGAAGAGCTGGAGGATAGGAATGCCTCAGTGTGCAATGCTAAACAACACTATGTATTATATAAATCAAGTCTCTGTGATGCTCCTTCCTTATTAATGCCCCTTTGTGAGGTTAATGGGCGAAAGCCTCAGGCTTTGTAAAGCTTTTCTTCAAATGGGCTCCTTTTCATGTACTTTAGCAGCTTGGGGGCGAATTCCTGGAAACTGCACCATGCGAGGGATGGGAAGCCTCTTCCAGCCTGGGGGAAGGCAAAAGGGGTGGGCCTGAAAGACCACCCTATCAGTGCTTAAAGCGTTTACTGTTTATCACTAATAAATATTTCAATCTTTTTGAATGAGGAGAAATAGCATGAAATCCAGGCAATCAACACATGATTGGTGCTTGGGGGACTTGCGGTGGGACCCAAGGGAGGGGTGCAACCATCTGGGGAGCTCTGGAGGGACAGCTTTGGCCCATTGGCCTGAGATTCTGCACCTCTGCAATGCACTATTTTGCATTTAGGCAGAGTGACTGATTTGCAATAGTATATCTTTGTAGGAGGCAAATGTAATTCTCTCTCTGTGTTTGCTTAACTGGGTGATCCAAGGATTTGAATGAATAGAAGTTTTGTGTTATCACAGTGCAAACAGCACCACCCTTAATTTGACTTGGCTGCTTTCTATGCAATAATCCTACACAGACACAGTATACAAAACACGATGACACCAAATAAATTTAAAGTAAAATCGTCTCTTATACTGAAGGATAGCTTATTTTTATGAAATAAGATCAGGTGTTGGTCTATTAATCATTCTGGCAACTGGTGTTTCTTCTGACCCTAAGCCCTATTTCAGTGTGATGGTGCTATTTTAATTGCACATTGTATTTCTTAATAAGCAGGTGGGGCTTTTACTTTACTGTTTCCTTATTAATCACTCTTTTCTCTGTGGCAGCGATCTGTATGCCATCTTCTCTCTTCATCATCACAGCCATGCCTTCTCCTTAGACCAAAGGAACTTGCTACTTACTCATACCACAGAGAAAATAATTAGAGTGGCACACACGTGTGTGTGTTTTCTATGGAGCAGGAAAAGTATGCCTGGTTCCCCAAACAATGGAACTTCATGGGACAGTGGCTGTGGTGGCAGGTTTATTCTTCCTGATTGTTTGCTTGTACAGGGAGCCCTCAGGACAGGTATCGCATGTCTTCCTTCCCCTAAGACAATAAGAAGGGCCTACTGGACCAGACCAAGGGTCCGCCTAGTCCAGCGTTCTGCATGACGGCTGGTACCCTGCTGGTATACAATCCAATGAGTATTTACAGTTTATTCCACCGTACAGGAATTGCATGCGGAATGTAGGTAGCCCTCAGAGGGACTATGAAGATGGAGTCTTTGCAACGTGCTTTTCTAGCCTGTCAGTTATGTGCTACTTCACTGCTCATTTCTAATTCCTGGTCATTTATCAATATAATAGAACATGTTCCATATATGTGTGCAGTCTAAGCAAATCTCATCATTAATGTTCTGACTGTACACTGATGCTTCCATCTTTATCATCTATTTTCTGTTTCTTGTAAATTTTCAACAATATATTCAGTGGAAGAAGAGTGCCTCATGGCTTAATTTGAGCAAATGTGTGGTGTTGTGGCAGCCAAGGGGCATCAGTGCCTTCTTACTGACATGACTTTAAATGGCTAATGTAAGTGCAGGCTGAGATGCCCCACATGAATTAACATTGTAATAATGCTCACCTCTCTGCTTTCAAAAGCATTGCCATAACCTTGATCAGCTTGGAGATTGCTTGCTCTGCCTAGGATACAAGTTTGTTTCCATTATTTATATTCCTAATTTTTATTTATTTGCATTATTTGTATATTGTCCATTAACACAAAGTCCTCTGTGCAGTTCATAGCAGTAATGAAAACATAAACAGGTTTTGTTTTTTTAAGTCCTTTAAAATTGATGGAAACAGCATTAGAATAATAAAAAATTGCAACTGGAAGCACCCAAGGGGCAAGATTAACTTGAGATTAACTTGTTGCAGCCCTGAGTCCATGAATGCTAGCAGGGCAGATTCTGCGAGGTTTTGCTGTGGCCCTAAGGCAGCAGATGACATTGGCATCCCTGCAGATCAAAAATTCAGTGCTTCAGTTCTGTGAGCTCTGACCTCTGTGCCCCACTGGTCTTAAAAGCAGAGCACAGAATATGCAGTGGTGGATATTGCAGAGAAGGTAGACCCAGTGAGGCCATCTTAGCCCAGATGTCCACCCTATTGAAACCCATAGCCCATGCTGAGATATGTTGCAGGCTACCCAGAAAAAACTTGTTTTAAATTGCCCTTCTCTCCCCTTCCCCCATCTCCTGATATACCTGCAATCTCTTTTTACTGAATGGTGTTTCTGGATTAGAAGCTTTTTTAAAAACATGCTTTGGAATTTATCTTGCTTCTTCTATGAAAGCTGCATACATTTTGACTCACTGAGGCTTGAGTGATGTCTCATGTTCAGGAAACCATTCCTGATATGTCCCTGTGGTGACACCCTCCATAGCAGCTGGATCTCCTAGTCATCTCATGTGACACAGAGCCCTGGTATCACTAACCTCCAATGTTTAACATCACTCCCCATGTGCTCAGTAGAATGAGCTTGGAAATCATGAAGGCTAAAAGTCTAATATATCAGATGTACTTTCTGGTCTCCTTGGCCTTCAGAAATAAATGCATCATCTCTCTGGGAGGGCATATGGATGACTATTTGCCAAGTCATCCTTGGCTTTCCACTCAGTAAACTCTACAACAAGTCACCCCTGGAGCCTACATTCCAGGGCATGGCTGGACATAACAGATCTTATTTGGAACAGAACAAGAATAGGTAGTAACATACAGAACAACTAAGCAATCGGGAAAATATTTATTCACTGTCAATTTAGAACTCACCTTTCAGCTACAAGGGCTTATACCACAAATGAAAAGCATATACAACACAATCATTGCAATCTCATGCTAAAATAGAGAAGAACGGGAACTTGACAGGATAGCAACAATTCTATTGTAGCAGCAATACAAGGTGGAAATGGAAAGCAATCCAAAAGCCTAGTTTAAGAAGAATGCTTTGATTATGCACTGAAACTGAAGGCTAACAATGAATGAGCCAAGCCAGTTTTGGTGCTGCAACTGAAAAAGTCCTGCCCCATTTCCCAACCAATGGTGCCTCTGAATGTTCATGGTATGGTACCACTTACTGTTGGCAGGTACCATGTAATTCAATCATTGCTATGTAGAGCTTTTCACATCACACCTAACCTTTCTCTTGTTCTTTCTGTTTCTAGTCTCAGACAATGAACTATGTGGGCCAGATTGCCGAAACAGTGTTGGGCACTGTGAAGGAGCTATATAGGGGTCTGAATCCAGCTACCTTGACTGGTTGCATTGATGTCATTGTGGTGAGACAGCCAGATGGTTCCTTGCTCTGTTCCCCTTTCCATGTACGCTTTGGGAAGCTGCGTGTTCTGCATTCCAGTGAGAAAGTGGTAAGTGACCCCAGATGTGTAGAGATAAGACTGAAGGGTATGACTTGCAGCTTGCTGGTCTCATGCACATTTATGGAGATATTCCAAGCTTGATTAAAATAATGCTTCCAAGGAAGTGTGCTAAGATTCATCATTGTAAAGTCAGGAGGAGGTGTGGTATGAATAGGAGAATGTAAGAGACCTTGGTGATTCAGACCAGGGGTCCATCTAGTTGGGTATTCTGTGTGCACAGAGGCAAACCAGCTGCATGTGGGAAATCCACAAATAGAACATGAAATATGATATGAAGTATGGGTTGAATGCTCATTCATACAAACTTTCAAACATGATAAGGTAAGGGCTTATTGGGCTGCGTATGATCATTAAGAAAATTCAGTAATCTGTTTACTATCATATTATAAAGACTATATGAATGGGCCTATAGCCTTCCACATAGTCGTTGTAGATTGTTTACTGTTTCTGCATTCTTTTGCTGGTCTCCAAATTATTCTGCCAAATATGGAGCTGAAAGTAAAAGTGTCTTGCTTCCTTCTGCCACTCATGCTCATTCTCTGGCAGACAAAACTTCAATGATTGTTGGAGGCCAGATTTATTATCTGTCCAGCCATTTCCCATGAGAGGGGAGCCATTTAAGTGTGTTAGCAGCAAAAGTAAAGTTAGTCATGTTGGCAGTAAGAAAAATGCCAGAATAGGTATTAGGGGAACCAAGAGGTTACAAAACAGTGTGCACATTATTAATTAGCATGATTAATTCCAGCCAGATTAATAACTGGGACCAGAAGGCCTGAACATATAAGATCAATTCTGGACCAGCTGTATTAGCTCAGCCCAATTCAAGGTACTGGTTTTAACCTGGACCAAAGTACCTGGATCCCAACCACAATCTAACTGGACAACAATCTGCATTTGGAACCTTCCTCTGACTGTTTTCTTCAAGGGATGCCCAGAAAGAGACAACAAGGAGGAGGGCCTGCCCTGCAGTGGTCCCTCAGTTACAGAATTATCTCCCCATTGAGGCATGTCTGGCATCACTTTTCAGAACTGAAAATTCTGAAAATTTGTCATCTTTTTGTCATGCCTGTCATCTTTTCAGAATACGTTTAAAATTGACCTATATTCTCAGGCATTCAGTGGTATTTCATGGAATATGTCAGCTGTTTTAACAGGTCTAGTTTTTATTAAAATTGTTTAGACTGATTAAAATGTTGCTTACTAGACTTTTATTGTGTTTTATTGTATCTGTATGTTTTATTGCACCTGTTTTTATTATTGTACTTTGATAAATTATTATGACCTACCCAGAGAGCTTTGGCTATTGGATGATATAGAAATAAAATGAATAATAATAGGAAATTCTACAGAACTCGCTGTATAAACAGGAAAGCCCAAGTTATAAACTCATAGTGCAGTAGGATTAAGCCTGCACCTGTGCAAGCTTAAATATAATAATTTTACAGTGGAGATGTGTAAGTAATTCGTATACTGCCAAGTGCCATTTCAGGGTTGAATATGCAATAGTTCACTTCCTGGACAAGTGAGCTATACAGCACAAATGTGTGATGGCTATCTGGGATTTGGGCGATCACATCCCCCCTTATTCATGGCATTTTTTTTTCAAATTGGGATCCTTATGTACTTTAACCTTTCCAGTTGCTTCCTGCTATCTCAAAATCTCCAACTCTCATTGGTGGAGAAGGAGCCAGAGACACAATATTCTTTTTAGCAGGAAATGTGGATGTTTGGATGTCTGCCCTTGCAGATGAGGAAAAGCCATGGATATGAAAAAGTAAAACCATTCTTGGTCAAGCAAGGCAACCTGTCAGTGTACAGAGATGAAACTCCCTTCTACAGACTCTAAATAGGGGTGGAGGACAATGTCCATAACCAAATTCAACCCCAGAACCCACCCCACTGCCACCAGAATTGCCAGCATTGCCCAATGGCTGAAATCAGTGCTGAAATTTGGCAGCATGGTGGTTACAAAAACAGTCAAATTTTTGCTTAAAAGCAAGTCATGTATTTGCTAGATATTTTGCTTTAAAGGAAAAGGAAGTTGCTGCTGCTGCTGCCGCCATATGTGAGAAGCAAATTTGGCAGCGGGGTAGTATAGGGACCAGAAAATAAAAGGGAGGGGCCTGCATATTGCCCACCCCTGCTCTCCAGGCAGCTTGGAAAGCAAAACCCCATTTATGTTAGAATTATATCTGCATCTCTTCAGTGTATAGTGCCAGAAGTTTCAACTAAACAATAGAACCAGGCTCAGTGCCTGGCTGACATTTTAAATAGGCCTGGCTGTTTTTATTGCTGTCTGGCTGTGTTTCACTCCACCTGGCTTGGCCTTCGTGTCTGCCATAGGCAACACAGAATTTGCAAGTGTTTTTAATGAACTCATATCGAAATGAGCCACGGCTGCTTTTATTATGTTTTCTTGTTGTAAAAGGCAGCATCCCAAATCAAAGCCAGTGCAGGAAGAGATCTAGAAGAATTCCAGCAGGGATAGGCAAGTTGGTCTATTTCTATTTCATGTCAATTTCACATATTTTCTTGGCTGCCAGAAGTCCATTCTGTCCAGTTTCTGCATTTTGTTGTTACATGCCATTAGGTTGTCCCTGACTTAATGTGGCCATGTGAATGAACGCCCTCCAAGCTGTTCTGTCCTTCACGGTCCTACTTAGCCCTTGTGAATTCAAGGCTATGGCCTCCTTTATGGAACTGATCTCATATTTATTCTACCTCTTCATCTTCTGCCTTCAACTTTCCC